CTCCTGTGAAATAAAGTACCTCAACACTCTCACTTGGCAAAGGCAAATGGCAATGGGAACTACATTGCACTACACCTCCTAAACTGGTTGACTTAAGGAAGCAGTCACAATTCCATCCAGTGGAGCAAGCTGCCAAGGGGATAAAAATTACCTGACCTGGGCTGATAGTGACCACTTCCTGTGTGCCAGAACCCACAGGCTCAGGGAACCCTATTAACAAGGGTTTGCAACTGCCAGCTGTCTTCAAAAGGAAGGATTAAACATATTTTTTATTTTTATATCTAGTAATAAATATTCCAAAATTTAGTAATAAAATAAATAAATCAGCAATTCAATTTAGGTCCGTATTAAAGCATTCACACTCCTCTACATCTAGACCAGTAGCAGTTTATCTTGGGAAAGTAAGTTAGAGGTGCTAACCAAACTGGACTGATATGAAACCCTTTAAAGCAGGGAAGTGAACAGACATTTTAAATAAAAAAATTCATGGTTTAGACAACACTACCTGTACCTTCTAGACCTCAGATTTACTTGCTATAGCAGTCATTAGTCACCTTCCACTGCCCAGATGACCCATACACATTCCCTGCAGAGCATAAAAATGAGATAAATTGAAAAAACTGGCTATCCAAAGGGATTTTCCAGAACACGTTTTCTCTGGCTTCTTGTTTGTTAAATCTACTCCTGTTCTCCAGAGACCCAAAAGAGAAAAACAACAGCAGATTAGCTTTTATTATTCTAGTTGATATCTGAAGTAATGGCCCAAGACAGCCAGCAGAATTATAAAGCAGTGAGTGGCTCACCTCCAAGCACTGGAATTAATCCTAGGATCCTGACAGCTCCTCATTATGAGGTCCAGTGGCCTCCAAAAAGATGACTCAGGTTGTGAGCCAGGAAGCACTGAGTCGTGAAGCACATCATCATCAGTGTAAGGACCTGGGCTGCCAGCACAGCCCCTCGTGTGCCCCTGTGCCAGCACCCACTCTCTCAGCAGCAGGCACCACACACATATCTATTGCAATCAGCAAAGCTTCACAAACTTCTGCTAGCTTCAGGTGATTCTGCAGCAGGATCCTGAAGAGGAGATGGTAACAAACAGCACACACCTGTCTTTGCAGCCTGTTCTCCAGAGGGGATGCAAGGGTGCTCCCTGAGGAGAGGCAAGCCCAGTGCTAACAGATTCTCCCAGGGTTGCCACACACTGCGTGAATCTTGGATGTGATTCTGCTGTCATCTTCCAAAGGACAGCACTCAGGGCTGGCCAAAACCCTCCAATGAAACCATCTCATTCATATAGATGAACACTGTCCCTCACTGGCTGCTAGAACCTCAAACCAAGAGCTGGACACCTGCAGGATGGTCGAGCTCCCTCGGCAGCCACGGCAGGAAGGGGAGATCTGAACACGGAGCGATGCTGGGGAATGTGAGCCTTGTGCTCGCCCATTGAAACCAGAAACTGCATCTCATATTTCCCCAGCTGCAGCTCCACACTGAGGAGCTTCCAAAAGTTCAGCTGTATTCTCAGGGGCACAAAGTGTTAGCACTTGAGCCTGTTCTCCTAGCAGTGCTCGTGGGCTTTTTTCACAAGGGTTTGCTTCTCCTGCTGAACCTACCTCAGCTACCGCCCACTTACTGCTGCATGGAAAGGGAAACTACATGACACAAGGTAAACCGGCAAAACCATTTTAAAAGAAAAAGCACTACTCTGAGGCAGATGCAAAAATCTATTGCAAGGGACCACCACAGAAGAGAGACCTTGACTCAGGCTCCATAGCAAGCATGCTTCAAATTACCAACCATCCCATCACAGCAAAAACAGTGTTTTCATCTATATCTTGCAAGTAATTGACCACATTTTTGAAGATATCTGAGATGGATGTGCAGTTTGTACCTACCTTCTCTGTTTCTGTTACCATCACCTGGCTGTTATCCTGGGTATTACCCTCCTCACCTGCAGCATGACCAGAACCATACAATCACTAAACAGCATCAGGCAGTTTATAAGCATTGTGCCAGCTCAGAGCAGTTCTGACAGTTAAGGAATAACTACAGTGTAAACATGAACTGTACTCTCTCAAAGGCAGGAAGACAGATCTTGAGATGATAAAGCATCTGGGAGAGGAAGAGTGGAGAAAGACAAACAAATCTCTACAAAGAACTTTGAATAGAAGGCTGTTGGGTTTTTTTGTACCCTCTCATTCAGGCTATCAGTTTCAGGAGCAAAAGTCCACCAGGAGATTAGAGATAAGCAAAGCTCCACTTTTTAAATATATGTAGCCTTTGGCCACTCACAGAACACCAGCTTCAGGTAGTATATTTGTGTTTTTAAGAGCACAGCTCGAGGATTTCCTACAAAGCGTCAGGAAAAGATACCTTTTGCCTGTTCCAGAAATAAATTTATTGTGAAGCAAACTAATACTAGAAAGCAGTACAGAAAAGAAACTAGTATTAGCCCTAGACAGGAAATTACAAGAAGTTGCCCTCTTATCTTCTGTAGTAATAAACCCAGACAGGTTCTCCACTAAAAGCCCATAGACTCAGTATCTAGTCCAAGCCAGGATGTAAACCCAGTCAATGTGTTGGACTGGCACCATTCTCTATCACCCACAGACACCAGAGTTTGCATTTGAGGTACTAAAAAGTGATTCTAAATGATCTGGTAACCAAGAAACATCAAGAACATGGGCTAGGTGACTGATTCAATATTTAAGAATTGCACACAGCCACAGCTATCACATCTAAGCATTTCACTCCTTGTCTAATCTCATGGCAACTCCTGTGGGGCAGGCAGGACTGATTTACAAAGATTCAGAAACACAGCCACTCATGCTGCTGCTGGCCACTGTAATCAGGCCTTGTGGCTTTTTTTTTAAACACACACTTCATGCCTTATGTGTAACCTTATGTTCAGGTTACACATAAACAAAGATGATGATGAATCGCGAGCAGCACTCCTGGCACAAATGTATGCAGTAATTAAAAGCCTCCTCCTTCCAGAGGAAGGGCTGTTCTGTCTTTTTACCCCTTTGAGATATCCTCTCTCCTCTCCATGCATATGGCACCTTCCCTACCAGGTGTGTCCATCCCCTCCCAAACTGCCACCAGCCCTCAGCTGCCTCTGCCCAGAGTGTCTCCAGCTGGGCCACCCTGGCACAGGATCCAGCCCACGGCAGATGTGGGGGCCTGAGAGCTGGCACTGAAGGAAGGGGGGATGTCCTGGAGACTTGGAGCTGTGGCAGTCTCATCATCCAGTAAGCCATTCACATCTTCTTCACTGCATGCAAAATGCTCTGGTTTTACAGATATAACCTAGTAGTTGTCCAAAAGCTTACATAGGAGAACCCAAGAATCTTTAGGACAGTTGTGACAGTAAAGACAAAGCAGTGTGGAAGTTACTTCCTTGTAGAAATCAACTGTCCTGATGACGAGGACTTTGAAACTCCCAAGTTTCAGGAAAGGATGGATGACCACAGAGCCACACAAGGCTCCAGGAGGAAGATGCAGGAGCAGCACTTTAGCACCTTTCTGCAAACACCTGCAGCTAGTAGCAGGAAAATGCCACTATCCATAGAGAACTAATGGCCAAGGAATTTGCTATGTAAATGAGATTCCTAAACCTGTTTACTTGCAGATACATCAGGGTAATCCCAGGTCATTTAGCAACAAAGCAGGGGGTCTGAGCCTTAGTCTAAGGGAGATCCAAATTCACTTTTCACATTTCTTATCAGGTTGCAGAAGGTGTTCCTTGTAAAAACAGACTTTTCATTTTCATTTGATAAAAAAGGAACAGAGAGAGCCTGTCTTTATAATTCTAGCACTTCACTGAAAACTGTTCCATCTATTACTCCCATCTCCATATTGGGGGTGTTTGAACCCAACTTCCATGTTTCAGAAGTGAGTGTTATAATTCTGTGGAAACAAACCCTTCTGCTTCTATCTCCATGTTTCACAAAGTCTCACCCAGAACACATTCACCCTTCACACCAAGGTAATTGTGCCTTTCTTAATGAAACCCAAAACAATTGCTCAAGGTGAACAGCTGCATTCATGGAGCATTAACTTGCACAGGATTTTAGTATCAACACAGCTACATGAACTATGTCACTGTTCAAAAGAAGCAGTGACAATAAACCTTTTAGTGAATTATCTGCATAGTTTACCCAAAATAGAGCTTACTGTAGTTCGGAAGTGAACAGACTAAACTACATCTAAAAGAGAAAGAGTCAAGCAGCAGCTAAGGAAGAAGTGTAGATGCTTAAAATGGGATTCTGAGCACTGGATGTGGAGCAGGGAAGAGTAAAGTAGCATGGAAGGGAAGGAGTGGTAGAGTTGTGACAGTCGTGGCTGGTCCATGTTTATGTTGCAGGTAGAATTTGAAAGCCCATTATCACACCTGCTTTCCAAAAGGCACCACAAAGCGATCTGCTAATGAATTCAAGTCATTACAGTAAGAGAAAAAGCACGTCGTCCGACCTGTACACATGGGTTGCATCATACCTTTCCCTGTTCCCTTCTGATACACAGGGAATTACAGACTGTGCCGGGAAACACCGCGACCTGCCTGGCCGGCGGGAAGCGCTGCCTGTCTCCATGGGCACTTGGGCTGCAGGCAGCATCGCTGAGCCGCTCGGAGCGGCCGCGGCGGGCCCGGCTGCGGGCACAGCTCAGCACCGCGGCAGGTGCGCCCGCACGGAGACAGAGCCGCGAGCAACAGAGCTGCTCCTTCCCAGGAGCAGCTCGCACCGACCGCCCCATCCCGGGGGCGTCAGCGATGGGGAAGCGCTGAGAGCCCAAAGACGCCTTCCCAGCGGGGCCGGGATGCAGCCGGTCTGCGGCAGCGCACAGCGCTCCCCACTCGCCGCCCCAACCCTTCTTCCCTCCTCCCATCCCGCAGGCGGCGGGATGCGGCGGGATGCGGGGAGACCCTCCCGGGGCGTCCCTGCGCGCACAGTGCCGGGGACGGCTCTGCTGAGTCACGGCCGGGGCCCCCCCGCACTCACCTGCGGGCCGCGGCCGCTCCGCACTCCGCTCCGCACCCCGCCGGGGGCAGCGCGGCCGGAGCCGGCCGGGCAGCGCGGCGCGCCCGCTCCATTGCAGGCGCCGCGCTCCCGGGGCTCCTCCGCGGGGTCGCCGCTGCCGCCGCCCTCCTCGCCAGCGGGGAAGAGCCCGCAGGAGCGCTGGAAGCGCGCCACGGGCTGGGAGCTGCGCAGGGTGCCCAGCAGGCGGGCCATGCTGCCGCCAGCTCCGCACAGCGCGGCCCCCGATGTCCCGCCCCTCCCGCACAGGTGCTCTGCCCCGCCGGGAGCGCCCCTTGCCGGCCGGGCCCTGCGCTTCCCCTCACCGGCTCCCAAACCCGCGGTTCCTCCGGCGAGGCCAGGGCAGTCAGCGTGTTCCTTTTCCCAGTGTTTTTCCTGCCATGGTGTTCTTCCTGCTGTCTTCTTAACGTGGAGATAGAACGCCCTAAATCGCACCAAGATCTTTGGGAAAAACACTTAGGTGTGGGTGCCATGCTACATGGGCTCATCTTCTGTCAATTCATCTCATGGTGTAAAATACACCCTGAGTTGTCCCTGTTTTCATTTTGTCTGGTTTTGGAATCAGCTTTTATTTCTTTTCCCAAATATTTGCACACCTACATTGTATACATCGCATGCACACATACACCTATAAAGATACATTTCTAAATATTTTCTTCCTTAAATACAGCTATGGAGTTTCCTACAGAAAAAAAAAGAAATCCCTTGGAAGATGCCCCTTAAGTTCTGGGGCTGCAAACCTTGCCACAGGCGATCCCTGCTGATTCATATTTTTGAAACATTTAGCATCTTAGTTCCATCAATGCTATTTTTTTTTCTTTTTAGCCCATTTCTATTTCCAGAATTATATTTTATACAAGGACTTCACAATCATCATTTGCTCAACATACACTCGTTTAAAGTTTGTTGCTTTTTTTTCATTCTCGAATACCCCAAATTATACAAGATTGCATCAAGGCTTTTTTTCCAGAGCACTTGGAAACCAAAGCCACGTTCCTTTGCTTTTTTAGCGAGTCAGTGTGTCCCTGTGCCACAGGCTGGGCTGCCTGTAGGAGATGCTCACCCAGGCCCCATGAGTGCCACTGCTCTCAGGATGGCAGAGTCATCTCATCACCCAGCCTGGGCTGGGGCCAGCCCAGCCCACGGCCATGGGCCACACGGCCTCTGTGAGGATCCCCAGGATCTCTTCATCACCCCATCCACAATCCAGGGCAGACTCCATAGATCTCATCTGATTTTTGGTGTGATTCATTTACTTTTATCTTCTCCAAACGCACTCTTCTATCAGTAGAGGTTTGCCCAGCCGTCATGCTTTCCTCACTGCTGGTGTGTGCACACTCAGCCCTGGCCATGATGACAGGGCTCCCCTCTCAGCAGAACCAGCTCAGAGGGACTGAGGAGGGAGGCAGCCTCTGCAGGTTATGTGTTTGTACTCTTTTACTTGGGGGAATTATTCATTGTTTGCATCTGGGTTTGTTTTTTAATAGCTGTAACATTTACTAGGTGTGCTCATAAGTACCTGGGCAATATTTGTCTTATTTTTCCTGTTTCTTGGATATGTGAAAAATGCACAGAAATTTGTAACATGTTAATTTGAAGAGTAAAATTACAGCCCTGCTGGTGCAGCTGGGAGCCTTGCCACTGATGCCAGTGGGATAGGATCTCATCCAGGGACACAGTGGAAAGCAGGAAAGCAGGAATGAAAGTGCATAGCTGGGGCCAGCACCTGGTGGGTATTTTAAAACATCTCTTTGTCAACAACAAGTCAATATTTATCTGATCTGCCTACATAGCTATGTCATTATAATAATTCCCAGGTATTAAAATAGAACTCAGCATTCACAGCCAGCTTCTCCCTAATTTCTCTTCAGGTGCATATGTAGGTTAGTGGGAATGGGTCTCAGCGAGGATGTCATCATCCAGCTGATGAGAATTCAGGTTTTATAAATCAAACTCACTCTAAACTTAATAGAGAGAAAAAATAAGGGGGAAATTTCTACTTATTGTTAATTTTAATATGCCAGTGGCATCAGTGGCACTGCAAAAGACTAGATGATCAGGATTCTCAGAGTGTTTAAAAGAACTAATTTATAAACTGTCCAGTATAAAAAAAAAAAAACAAAAAAAAACCAAAAACAAAAACAAAAACAAAAAAAACCAAACCAAACCAAACAAAAAAACCAAAAAAAAAAAAAAAAAAAAACCAACAAAACCAAAACTTGTAGAGCTCTATCTAGTGAAACTGCCTCATCCAGAGCCAAAATATCTCACTAATAGCTGGTTAGTATTTAGCTACATTTTCACAAGGGAAGAAAATCACCCCTGGGCTGAGGAAAAGCATGAAAGATGAGAATACAAAAGATAACTTTTGAGAAAGCTGAGAATAGTGCCTTGTGCTGAAGGCATTTCCTTAACAACAACGGGTGTCATTGTCATGATGGTGGGTAATTTTGCCTTCAGCATCAACAAAGTTAAGAGTGAAGTACAAATTCCAGGGCTGGGGGTGGATGATGATGCTAGCAGAGCACAGCTCAGTTCTCAGATGTCAGCCTGAGTTTGCAATCCTGACAGCCAGATAAGCCTTGTTTTCCCTCAAGCTGAGGGAGTGGGTCTGGAGGAGCAAAATAGGAGTGCAGGTTTTACTGTCACTCTACAGACAGCAGCCACATTTCACTGTGGAAGATCACACTGAGAGTTATTTCTGCTGAGCTCCTCTGAGGAGGCTGTGGCTTATGAGTTACAAACACTACTGTCAGAACTGTGGTTTTCCAAACAAAAAGCACTGAAGTGACAGGAACATGAGCAAGCTGAAGCCCCTGCTGAAGCTGCTGCAGTAGGTGGAGAGCCAGTGCATGATGAGATGTGTCTGGTACCAGGGAGAGGCTTGGCAGTGCCTCTGGTACCTGGAGGGGTGCTGGGGATTTGGCAGGGCAGAGCTACAAACAGCAGCACACTGTGGCCTGGGACCACTGAATTTGGCAGTGAGATGTGGGCTGTGCCAGAGGGAGGGGTGGCACTCAGAAATCCTACAGAGATCCTTTGGCCATGAAGTGAAGACAGGAATCCCACCAACTCATCAGGTACCACAGTGTTGTATTTAAATGGGTTTGAACAAATCTCCTCCTCAGCTTCATCCCACGTGTTTTCATTTCCTCAGTCATTTTCTCAACATACTTAGAGCCCCACTCCTAATTTCATCTTCCTTCACCATTTTCTGGCAATTTGCATTTTTTTACTCTTTATACTGAGAAGGAAACCATTAAAATGTGTATGCTTTAATACTACAAGTTACAAGTACTCTTTTTATAATACTTTTGCTTTTTCATTATATTTAGTTGACAAGCTACTGAACACATTATTTTGGATCTGAGACTTTCAGTACTGAATGTCAGACCCAACCACCCACTAACCTTGCAGGCAACAAAGTGGAGCTTTCTCAGATTAGCTGGAAGAACTGAAGAGTTTGAAATATGGTGAAGAGATTAAAAAAACCTGTAGAAAGTGCCCTTGGAAACCAACGCATGAGAGATTATGGTTTCCACAGCACTTGAGTTTTTGCTTTTGATTTAGCCTATCAAAGGTCAAATAAAATTCAGTTTGAAGAAATGTTTATAGAGAAAAAAAAAATTGCAGGAAAGGTCAATAAAGAAAAAATCTCAACAGGAGTCTGCACAGCTGTGATGGGTCTCAAGTCTGCACATATTGTAGGCCTTTTCTGACTAAGAGAAAATGTTTTCTATGCCAATATCTTCATTTGTTTACCTGAGTAATACAGAAAGACTGGAACCTGTGATAGCTCTGCAGCCTTCAATGCACTGAACACACAGCAATTGTCATTGCACAGATGGTTGGAAAAGGTAAAGCTGCAGCACACAGTGTGTGTTAAATACATCGGTCCTTTGGGCTCCAAACTGTTCACCAAGTCCTACAAATTTAGACATGGAGGAAAATGGAACTGTAGACCCACTTGTTCATAATTCTCACATAATTTTATTAAAATATCCTTATTTTATATATATATATATATGTGATTGTATTTTCAGTTTTAGAGAATGTAAGTACAAAAGTAAAGCAAAGTTTAGAACTTGGGAAGAATGAAAGCAGTTCCAAAAACTGCAAGAAAGGGAATGTGCTGAAGCTGTGGCTGCTGTCTTGGGTAGAAATAATTAACTTTTCTGTTTGCAGTGTAAGTAACCAGATAATTCCATGTAATTACTTATGATTTGCATTGCTTGAAATGGTATTGCTAATTTCCAGAGAAGATTAGCATGTTATTTAAATAATTATTCTGCACCATATCGCTTGGACACTTCAATTGCACGTATATCTACTGTGAAATTCCTAGAGGTGTTCACAATGTTTCTGGTTATTTGTGGGCTACCTTTGCTATTGCAGTGTTCTAGGAGACAACAGCAGAAGAAGAATTAATAATGTTGTAGTGAAATGTTGAACTTAACCCCTAAGAATTTTTAAAAACTTAACTATCATAAGAATTGACCTATCTGATTATCTTATTTAAAATACCGTATACCAGCCCTCTGGAAAAAAATCTGATTTTATCAACAACAGTCTAGGCTTAAAGTGGTAAAAACTTCTCTTTCTCTGGGCTGAGTGTGGCCTCAATGTAGTTGAAACTGTTGGAATGGTTTTTAGTGTTTTTTTTTGTAGCAGCTCTCATGCTGCTGTCTGGTGATCTCTGCTTTCAGCACTGGGTGCCTGCACTGAAGGGATGGCACAAAGACAAGGGAATTGAGCAGGTTCTGTAAATCATTGCTGTAAAAAGGCCTGGGAGGGTCTTTGCTAAGGGTGACCAGCTCCAGATCCTTACAAGCAGCTCCCCTGGCAATGGTCAGGCTGGCAGTACAGCTTAGCTGAAGAGACAAGAGCACTGCTGGAGGGGCACAGCTGGGCAAACACCCTTTCCCTTTGCTTGCTTTATTCTGAGACATCTCCTGGCATGGGCTCTTCAATGAATCCTCCTTCAGCAAGTGTAAAAATGGAGACAAGACTGCAGTTCTCAAGTAATTATTATCAAATACAGGGCAATACCCTACTTTTGGCAACTGCCTTTTCCTTCAAGAAAGCCATTATTCTGGAAAAGCCAGTTTTGGTCTGAGCCCACATGCGCAGCAGGAAGCCTGAGCACCGTGTGCTGCCTTGGAGCAGCCAGCTGCTAATGGGCAGCTCACAGCCAG